TAAAATATTGCTATATTCACATAGGAAAAACTCTACACACGATCTGTGAAGAAGTTTGGCCGAAAAATCGATCCGAAGGCAGAGATCCGAGAATCATCCGAGAACAGTAAGCGAACTTCCGACGCTCTTAACTCGTCTGGTAGTTAAGCAAAAATTACGAAAAAAAAATACCAGGACATAGCTCGTAACACGATCTAGAACCTTGCAAAGAAACCATATCAATCCGAACTCCGAATCAAAAGATATGAAAATAAAAAAAATGGCTCTGTGTTACAGATTGCAGGAGAGAGAGAGGAGAAGAAAAAAAATCGACACTCACGTGTCAATCGGTGAGCAGCGGAGTGCAGCTCGGCAGGCGCCAGACACGCGTCGATCATCGGCTAGAGATATGCAACTCTAGTGAAACAATGACATGTGTCGCCTGCAAACCTTGAGTGGAATCGCAAACCCGAGTAGAGCTGAGCCGAACCGGACCGGCCGATAAGCGACTGCGCAGAAGCAGCCGGGCGTGGTATTCGCGTGTGCGGCCAGCGACTGGCACACTTCCTCGCGCATGGTTCGCGCATAGCCAACCCGTAAGGGCGTGTGAGACACCCATTTTGGTTCGTTCACCCTCTGTTTGCTTGATTTTTGTCCCGATCCCAATTCTAATACTGTTTTTATATGAATAGGGACCTAGTTGAAAAAAATCAGTATTTTTTGGCATCTCCGGCATAGAAACGCGAGCAAAAGGGCACGCGTCAACCAGGTAAGTCACCACCTGGTGTTTAGGAAGGAATACTTGTAGGATTCGCTTGGACTGCATGCATGCTAGTTATTCGCCTTAGGTGGTAGTCTCCCATGACTAATTGTTATGAGTTGATGATGTGTAATATTATGTGAAGTTTTGGGTGAATTATCTGAGCGTGCGACCATGCTTTAAATTTCCGTTGTACATATGCATGTGTTTAATTCATGTTGGAATTATGTATTTCGCGTTCTGGGTGCTTGATGGATGACTTCACCCCATTGAGCATGAACTTCACGTTCTGGGTGCTTGATGGAAGCCACCACCCCATTGAGCCTGCGTGCCTAATTTTCATGAATTATATATTATGATGTTAGACAACGGTTGCATGCACACTCTATTATTTTCTATGGCCCATTACTATGATAAGCCTAGGAATTTGCGATTAAGAGCAACAAGTCACTCTAAATAGACCTAACCTTCTCCTAGGAACTTAGCGAATTACCACGACGATGAGGTATCTTAGGAGTGTTCATAGATTGCTAGTGTGTGAACGATATCTATAGCTTCGTGGGAGGACCAGGGGTTCCTAACTAGTTCTTACTGCTCCTAGTCATTTTGCATGGGAAATACATCCCCATGTTGTACAACCCATTAGCTACATGGGAACGGGTTGGGTCGCACCCCCCATAAGGGAACTATATGAGCTTAGAAGGTACTGAGCACACCCCTAGGCTAGATACCATGTAGTCTCAAATAACCATGCAAAGGTAGCGCCTCATAGAGAGATACCAGCCATATTTGCTCGGCGTAAGGAACCTTTAGGTATCAAATGAAAGGACGATGAACCGGTAAAGCCCAAAGGACTAAGATTAGAACCAGATGTCCTAAAAGAGAATGAGGAGACCGTGCGAACCTGTTAAGTTAGGATGCGATCAGAGCCTACAAGTAGGTGGCTTACTTAGTATAATTTTTATACTCATCCTTGCTATGTTTTCCTTTTTTAGGAGCGTGAGGCATCGGTCAAGGACGAGCGTGATGGAGACGAGGATTGTCACAGAGGAATGGGTTGTCCCAATGCGTCAGTCCAGTCTTTATTTTGTATTTGCATTCTTTCATAATTTGTTTCTAAACTAATTATTTTTGTTTGTCATTCAAAATGTAATTGGAAGTAAATGATTTTTCTCTATTGCATATCTAAATTATTTTGTGCATTCATGTGTCGTTGTTAGTCACGGTCCGTAGTAAAACATTTTGTCGTGACAGATTTGGTATCAGAGCACTAGGTTATAGGTCCTGTAGACATTTAGGATAGGGAGTCGTATCCTTTGTGACCACTGCTCGTCAAACACATGCCACTCACGACTAGATGTTCTCATGTAATGGAAACATAGAGACAAAAGTCAAGCTAGTATTTACAAAGTATACCATGACTTTCTATGGCGTTATAATCGCACATTACCTAGGAGTTATGATACGAATGAATTGTAACCATAGTCCTTTTTTCTGTTGTGGTAGATAATGGTATAGAAGAGACGTCAACCTTATGTTGGGCTCAGACCCAGAAGGGGAAGAAGGGAGGAAGTTCAGGACACCTTGGTTCCAACCCTTGAAGTAGAACAACCTGAATTTCAAGAGGAGGTTGGAGATACACCCCAAACTAGCGAGGGGACCGTACCATAGCCATCAGGAACAAAAAGACGTCGAAAGAAGGCCAAGGCCCGAAGGCTGCTCGATACACCCCCTATTGCTCCCTCCTCTGAGGAGGTTCCATTGGTTCCAACCTCTAGTATAAAAGTCCCACTCAACCAGCCATTAGCCATGCCCATAGAAGAGATGTTTCAGACGTTCATGATGACCTCGATGGAAAATCAGGCTCTGATGAACTAATTGATGCAGATAATGATGGTTAATCAGTCAGCAAGGCAAGGGGCCAAAGATTCAGGGACTGACTGTGGAGTCTCGCTACCTAAAAGATTTTTAGTGGCATAAACGGCCTTCCTTTGACGGAGGCAAGGTGGACTTCATAACCGCAGAGAATTGGCTAGAAGCCATAGAAACAACCTTCCATTTTATGAACTGCCCGCTAAAGTATCAAGTCCATTGTGGGATGTATATGCTGAAAGGAGAGGCGCACTTCTAGTGGAAGGGCGCTCAGACGACCATTATACCACAAGGGGAATTTATTACTTGGTGCCAATTTAAAGATGCCTATCTCCACAAATATTACCCAATCACTACCAGAGTGAAAATGCAGACATCATTCCTCGAACTAAAGTAGGGAGACAGGTCAGTGGAGGAATATGACTTAGAGTTCAATAGGATGACAAGGTTTTCTCTAGCCTATGTTTGTACTGATGAGTTGAAGGCTGAACGATTTATTGCTGGCTTGAGGGAGAACCTGAAGGGGAATGTGACAGCCCAGGCATCCTTTGATTATGCGAAAGCCCTTCAGATGGCGACCCTCCTTGACGCGCTCTGCAACGACAAGCTACAATTGGGAACAGCACAATCTTCCCACACTGCAGCCCAGGGAAAGGGGTTAGACCGTAGCCACCCTAGAACTGGTAGACCACCCCGTGGTTGCATTGATAAACAAAGAAGAGTTCTGGTGCATAACATGACCCTTTGTCCTAACTGTCGGCATCCTCACACGGGGGAGTGCAAGGCAGGAACAGACACCTGCTACAGATGCGACTAGTAGGGCACTTTGCAGTGGATTACCGTTAGAGGAACGATCATCATATCAACCGACCTGCGGTACAGCATCAGGGGAGCTAGGGTGCTCAACATCAGTAGGGGCAAGCTGATAAGAATCACGATGTTCCAAATGGATTCATTTGCTTCCTATTCCTTCTAATATTTTTGTGAATTTTTCATGCAGATTTGATCAAAACATTTCAAAAGGAGGTGAAAGAAAGAAAGTGATGATTTTTCTGATTCGAGGACGAATCCTTTTGAAGATTGAAGAGGGGGAAGATGATACCAAATGGACCTATTGCCAAGAAGATTCAAAAAATGTCATGAAGATTCAAAAAATATGTCAACAACATAATTCAAACCTATGAGAGCTCAATTGATTTCAAACCAATCGCATTAGCCACTCAAGCACGTTAAAAAAAACTATTTTTAATTTCATAAATTATGTAAAAGTCAAATGGTCAATTTGACTTATTCTTTTGTGGAGATCAAAGGGATCGGGAATAAATCCCGTCCACAAACGTCTTTTGTCGGGAGACTATAAATACCCACAATATGTTATGTAAAAATCAGATTCGTGGATGGATGTAATTCAGATCTCAAATTGAGACGTTTCCCTTAGAAATTCGAGCATCATATTTGTCATTTCTAAGTTTCAAGCAATTCTTGTGGTAGAATTGCACCCGAGCCATTCAATCAAGCCTTGATCAAGTTCGATTGTGGAGTGACTCAATTTAGAACAAGGTTTCCAAATCTTGCTTCTAGATCTTCGATCGTAAGAGGTAATCTAATTCTAGCTTTATCTCTTGGTTGATCCAAATTTCGTATAAGAAGGTGTTAATTACTTTGATTCAAGGGTTCTTGCTTCAACAAAAGCTTGGATCATTGGGCTGAGGATTAGGGTTGCCTTATCACAAGCTGTAGCCCATGCAACGACAACCAAGCAAGTTGACCAGCCTGACGCAATTTTCACATGTACGCTACCCGTATTTGGTCATCTTGCTTTAGTATTGTTTGATTCGGGTTCAACGCATTCGTTCGTATCTAAGGAGTTTGTAGAGCTAGCTCACCTAGAGAGAACCTTTAGAGATCACCCTATCAGTGTCCACCCCTGCTTGCGAGTTGTTGTTAGCTACCCATAGGGTTAAGGGAGGTTGTGTAACAATATCAGGATGTGTCATGGAAGCTACACTGATAGTGTTAAGCATACAAGAATTAGATGTCATCTTGGGTATGAATTGGCTAGGCGAGAATTGCGTTGCGAGACTTGAATAGTGACTCTCAAGCTCCCATCAGGGGACAACTTTACATACAAGGGAGCCATTTCTAAAAGAACCCCAAGCGTCGTAACAACACTTAGGGCTAAGAAGTTGATTCGTAGTGGCGCGAGTGCATTTCTAGCCAGCGTGACCTTAGACAATAGTAACAAACAAATAGCCTTGTCGGTACACATCGTCAAGGAGTTCGTCGATGTCTTTCGGAGGATCTGCCAGATTTTCCCCCAGCTAGGGAAGTCGATTTTAGGATCGATTTAGAACCAGGAACCGTGCCGATCTCCAAGACACCTTACAGGATGGCACCTATAGAACTCAAGAAATTGAAGGAACAGTTACATGACCTGTTGGATAAGAGTTTCACCCGACCTAGTGTATCACCCTGGGGAGCCCCTGTTCTATTTTTCAAGAAGAAGAACGGGTCTCTGCGGCTGTGTATTGATTATAGGGAGCTAAATAAGGTCACCATAAAGAATAAGTACCCCTTCCTGAGAATTGACGACCTATTTGTTCAGCTACAAGAAGCAATAGTTTTCTCCAAAATTGACTTAAGGTCGGGGTATCATTAGTTGAGGATCAAAGAAGTGGATATACCCAAGACCGCCTTCAAAAGTTGTTATGGACAGTACGAGTTTCTCATTTTGTCTTTTGGCGTTACCAATGCACCATCAGTTTTCATGGAACTAATGAACAGGGTATTTAAGGAATTCTTAGACACTTTTGTCATAATGTTCATCAACGACATTCTGGTATACTCTAAGTTAGAGGTAGATCACGAAGAACACCTAAGGAAAGTCTTGACAATACTAAGAGCCTAGCAGCTGTATGCCAAATTCTCCAAGTGCGAGTTTTGGTTGTATGAAGTAGCATTTCTGGGTCACGTGGTGTCAAGAAAGGGGATTACAGCGGACCCAGCTAAGATAGAAGCAGTGATGGCCAAAGCCGACCACAGTCACGCAGGTAAGGAGTTTTCTAGGGCTAGCCGGATATTACAGAAGATTTGTCCAGGATTTCTCCAAAATTTCCTCAGCGCTAACTCAGCTCACCAAGAAGTCCAAACCCTTTGCTTGGACTTCAGCTTGTGGACAAAGTTTCCAGGAAGTCAAGAAGAGGTTGATGATCGCACCAGTTCTTACAGTTCCAGATGGGTCAGGTAATCTTATGGTGTACAGTGATGCATCAGGGAAAGGTTTAAGGTGTGTGCTCATGCAAAAGGGTAAGGTGATAGCATATGCTTCTAGACTACTGAAGAATATGAACGAAACTACCCCACGCATGACCTCGAGTTAGCAGTAGTAGTGTTTGCTCTGAAAATGTGGCAACATTACCTGTATGGGGAAAAAGTACAAGTCTTCACTAATCATAAGAGCCTAAAGTACTTGTTCACGCAAAAGGAGCTCAATATGAGACAAAGCAATGGTTAGAACTGGTAAAGGATTATGACATAGAGATCTTGTACCATCCAGGAAAAACCAACGTTGTAGCAGATGCATTGAGTAGGAAGGCTGTGTTTACTTCTGCGATGATCACTAAGAAGGAAAAATTACAAGATAAGATAAAGAGGGCTGGGATAGATGTGGTGGTTAAAGGTGGTATTGTTCAGATGGCACAATTGACCATACAGCCCACCCTACGAAAGCACATTATTGACGCTCAGAGGTCTGATGAACACCTTAGTAAAGTGTGGAGTCAAATTGAGACAGAGAGACCAGCAGGGTATTTTATCTTCTTAGAGGTCTGATGAACACGTAGCCCACCCTACGAAAGCACATTATTGACGCTAAGAGGTATGATAAATACCTCAGTAAAGTGTGGAGTCAAATTGAGACAGAGAGACCAGCAGGGTATTTTATCTCCTCAGATGGGGGTCTGCTGTGGCAAAACTGTCTATGCGGTCCCCGAGACGAGAGAATCTTAAAAGATATTATGATCGAAGCTCATGATACATCTTATACGTTCCACCCTGAAAGTAAGAAGATGTATTAGGATCTGGAAAGATATTATTGGTGGCCTGGAATGAAGAGGGACAGAGCGGATTTCGTAAGTCGTTGCTTGACCTGCCAGCAGGTGAAGGCCTCGAGGTAGCGCTCAGTAGGATTGCTACAGCCCCTGAATGTTCCTCAGTGGAAATGGGAAGCAGTCTGTATGGATTTCATCTCGGGTTTGCCAAAGACAAAGCAGGGTTTCAACGTCATTTAGGTAGTTGTAAATAGACTGACCAAGATGGCCCACTTCATTCCAGACAAGCCCACATATCAAGTGAATCGGTGGGCTCAGTTATATATCAAATAGATAGTACGCCTGCACGCGGTGCCAGTATCCATAGTATCAGAACGAGACACTAGGTTCACCTCTCAGTTTTGGAAAAGTCTCCAAAAAGTATTAGGAACTCAGTTGAGGTTCAGTATAGCGTTCCATCCTCAAACAGACAGATAGACCGAAAGGCTGAATCAAATCTTAGAGGATATGTTAAGGGCCTATTCCTTAGATTTCTCTGGGTGCTGGGACGAACATCTCCTTTGATGGAGTTTGCCTACAATAACAGTTATCAAGCGACCATCCAGATGGCCCCCTTTGAGACTGTATGGGCGTAGGTGTCGAACACAAGTGTTTTAGGAAGAGGTAGGCAAGCAGCAACTACTAGGACCAGAGTTCATTCAGGTCACTAATGCAGCAGTGTAGAAAATCAAGTAGAGGATACTCACCGCATAGAGTCGACAGAAAAGCTTTGCAGATTTGCGTAGAAGGGACCTCAAATTTGAGGTAGGTAACGACGTGTTCCTGAAGGTAGCCCCTATGAGGGGGGTGTTGAGGTTCGGAAAGAAGGGAAAACTAAGCCCAAGGTTCATAGGCCCCTTCGAGATTCTAGAAAGAGTTGGGGTTGTGGCTTACAGAATTGCCCTGCCACCGAACATTGCCGCTGTACACAATGTGTTCCACATATCCATGCTGCGAAAATACACTCCAGACCCTACCCATGTAATCGAGCATGAGACACTTCCTCCTCGGGAAGATCTGTCTTATGAGGAGAAGCCTAGAAGAATTTTGGCTCGAGACACTAGACGATTTCGCAACAAAGTTATTCCCTTGGTATAGGTCTCATGAGGTAACCATCATGAGGAAGAGGCAACCTGGGAACGAGAAGAGGACGTGAGGAGAGCTTATCCTGAACTCTTCCAAGAGATATCCACTTTCGGGGACGAAAGTTCCTAAGGAGGGGAGAGTTTGTAACGCCTAAAATAAATTGGCGAAGTCAATAGAGGGGCAACAATATCATTTTGCCCCTCCAGCCATAATAGGGGTTCAAGGAAAACCCCATCAAACCTTTTGCAAAATAAAAAAGAAGTGAGAGAGAAAATTGAGAGGAAGCAGAAAAGAGTCGCTGCGAAGTTTCGTCGAACCACTATCGGAATCCACCTTCAGACGAGACCTATACAAGGACTGATAGGCTAGCGAGGCCGACGCTCTGTCAAGATCCAAGAACGTTTCGCGAGGTAAAGTTCTGAACGACATTTTTCAGATCTGAGCTTTTCCTATGTGAATCGAGTCCTAAAATGTTATATATTCACCTAAGAACAACTCTACACACGATTTGTGAAGAAGTTTGGTTGAAATCTTGATCCGAAGGTGGAGATCCAAGAATCGTCCAAGTACGGTAAGCGAACTTCTGACGCTCTTAACTTGTCTGGTAGTTAAGCAAAAATTACAATACCAGGACATAGCTCGTTAGACGATCTAGAACCTTGTCGAAGAAACCATATCGATCCGAACTTCGAAACAAAATATATGAAAATAAAAAAAATGGCTTTGGGTAACGGATTGCTGGAGAGAGATAAGAAAGAGAAGGAAAAAAAATTTGGTAGTCACGTGTCGGTTAGTGAGCGGCGGAGTGTGGCTCGGTAGGCATTGGACACGCGTCAATCATCAGCTGGAGCAATGCAGCTCCAGTGAAACGACGACACGTGTCGCTTGCAAACCTCAAGCCGAACCGCAAAGTTGAGCCGAGCCGAGCCAAACGAGACTATCAAACCTGCGACTGCGTAGAAGTAGTTGCGCATGGTAGTCGTGCGTGCAACCTGCGACTGGCGCACTTCCTCGCGCGTGGTCGGTGCATAGCCGGCGCATGAGGGTGCGTGAGACACCCGTTTTGGTTCGAACGCCCTCTGTTTGCCTGGTTTTTTTCCCGATCCCAGTTCTAATACTATTTTTATGTGAATAGGGACCTAATTGAAGAACATTAGTATTTTTGGACACCTCATGGGCATAGAAACGCTAGCAAAAAGGCACACGTCAACCAGGTAAGTCCCCACCCGGTGTTTAGGAAGGAATACTTGTAGGATTCGCTTGGACTGCTGCATGCTAGTTATTCGCCTTATGTGGTAGTCTCCTATGACTAATTGTTATGAGTTGATGATGTGTAATATTATGTGAAGTTTTTGGTGAATTATTTGAGCGTGCGATCATGCTTTAAATTTTTGCTGTACATATGCATGTGTTTAATTCATGTTGGAATTATGTATTTCGCGTTCCGGGTGCTTGATGGGTGACTTCGCCCCATTAAGCGCAAACTTTGGGTTCTGGGTGTTGATGGAGGCCATCACCCCGTTGAGCCTGCATACCTAATTTGCATGAATTATATATTATGATGTTAGATGACGGTCGCATGCACACTCTGTTATTTTTTATGGTCCATTACTATGATAAACCTAGGAATTTGCGGTTAGGAGTGACAAGTCACTCTAGCTAGACCTAACCTTCCCCTAGGAACTTAGCAGATTACCACGGTGACGTGGTACCTCAGGAGTGTTCATAGATTGTTAGTATATGAACAGTATCTATAGCTACATGGGAGGACTAGGGGTTCCTGACCAATTCTTACTGCTCCTGGCCATTTCGCATGAGAAATGTGTCCCTACGTCATACAGCCCATTAGCTGCATGAGAACGGGTTGGGTCGCGCCCCCCATATGGGGACTATATGGACTTAGGAGGTACTCAGCACACCCCTAGGTTAGATACCATGTAGTCTCAAATAGTCATGCAGAGGTAGCGCCTCATAGAGAGATACTGGCCATATCAGCTCGGCGTAAGGAACCTTTAGGTATCAAATGAAAGGATGATGAACTAGTAAAGCCCCATGGACTAAGATTAGAACCAGATGTTCTAGAATCGAATGAGGAGACCATGGGAACCTGTTAAGTTATGATGCGATGAGAGCTTACAAGTAGGTGGCTTACTGAGGATAATTTTTATACTCATCCTTGCTATGTTTTCCTTTTTCAAGAGCGCGAGACGTCGGTCAAGGGCAGACGTGATGGAGACGGGGGTTGTCACAGAGGAATAGGTTGTCCTAGGGCGTCAATCCAGTCTTTATTTTGTATTTGCATTCTTTCATAATTTGTTTCCAAACTGTTATTTTATTATTATTTATTTTATTTTATTTTTTATTTTATTTTTTTGTCGTTCGAAATGGTATTAGAAGTAAATGATTTTTCTCTATTGCATATCTAAATTATTTTGTGCATTCATGTGTCGTTGTTAGTCATAGTCCGTAGTAAAATATTGGGTCGTGACACTTGGAGTGCCAAAAAGCAACCTACTGTCTCACGCTCCAGCTATGATTCTGAGTATCGTGCTCTTGCTACGACTGCTGCTGAACTTCTTTGGGTTACGCATCTTTTGCATGACCTCACCTCCCTATTTCACAACAGCTCTTACTTTTATGTGACAACAAAAGTGCTATTTTTTTTAGCTCTAATCCTGTTTCTCACAAGCGGACCAAACATGTTAAACTAGATTATCATTTCCTTTGAGAACTTGTTATTGCTGGCAAACTTCGCACACAATATTTACCTTCCCATCTCAAAGTTGTTGACTTCTTTACAAAAAGTGTTTCTCGACCTCTCTTTGAATTTTTTAGATCCAAACTTCACATTCATTCAAATTCGACTTTCAGCTTGCGGGGTGTTAAGGATATTTGATTGTTTATTTAAGGCAAATATCTTTTGTGGCTTACCATATTTGTCTTTTTATTTAAGGTAATATATTATATTCATTTATTATTCTTTACTTTTAATGTTCTTTTCATATATTTGTTGTAACGACCCGAAATTTTCTACTTAATTTAAGGTCGCTACTGTATACATACCATAAACATTGAATGCGGAAGACTTCATTTAAATTCCATAAAACATAACCTTTAACTTAAAACACAGCCATGGACTTACGTGTTTCGAAAATATCTTTGAAACGACACAACAAAAGACTCGAAATAAAATAAATAAACGTTTAAGTTTAAAACATTCTATTCTATCCTAAGTCTAAGAAAATAAATGCCACTATCCTATGCATGTGCCATGATCTCGAGTTGCGTTGCCCTCGTCAGCCGTACAGGAATGCCTTGCCTTAACCTGAAAAATGTAGTAGCACAAGGCTTGAGTATTTAAAAAAATACTTAGTAAGTGACCCCACTATTGGGGTTAAATGCAACAATCACATGCAATGAAATGATGGGACCTATCTTTCGTTTCATTTCGTTTCATTTCATTTCGTTTCGTTTTCCCTACGGTGTAATCCTAACAAGTAATCGTGGACGTGTACCATATACTCTACACGCAGCCCATACGTGCGAGTATGGGCTCACCAGCTAGTTCGCACACCGCTGGGCCACTGTCCCTAGCCGGTGGGCATGCTCTAGGGGCCCACCGGGACCTGTTAAAACTAAAACCGTCACGGCAGCGTT